CTAAGGCTTGCCTAGGCATGGGGACTATGCGTAATTACAATTACAGGATCTGTTTGAATAGTTGAGATTGTTCAACCTATGAGCATGCTGATCTAGGCGACACAGGTTTTAACAGGTGCTTTATTTGTATTTTAAGACATAATGCCTATGTGTGAGGCTGTTTAAACCTTTTGTAGATAGTGATCGGAATAAACATGATTCAACAAATGCAAATAGAGTTCCTAGAAATATGGTATCTAATGCATACAGAAGATGACTATTTTTATTAAGGCAGGATTATTAACCTAATAGCAGGATCTCTAAGTGCAAGTACTTATACAAAATCAAAGTTGGAATAGTGATATATGACATGTAGTATGTTGAAGCAATAAGCATGAATACACTAAGAACATGTTATCTAATTTACAAGTTCAACATGGTTTAAATGCAAATAGACATAGCAATCCTAGAACATGATTTCTAGTGCAGATTTGTGTAAAGCCTAAAAACATGATTTCTACCCAGCATTACCCCACAGTACCATACACCTACCCTCCTGTTTTACTAGTTACTCCAATATTTGTTTACAAATAATTATTACATACCAGAATTGAATAAATTACATAAAATGCAATAGAAATTAAGCTATAGGGAGACTGGTGCAGGCCCAAAGCAAACCTGGGATACCAGGCCTTCAGTAGTCTCAAATGCCCAAGATTTCATTGCCACATTTGTGTCCAGGTGTGTCAGAGTTCCCTAAGGACCTCAAGGATCCCGTGCAGTGCTCACACCCAGACTTTTCTCAAATAGAGATTGATTATGTGTAGTGTGGAAGAGCCAGCCCTGATATGCTAGAGTTCAGAGAGATCCCCAGGATCTCTAAGCAGTACACATACCAGAGGGGCAGAACCTATTGATTTAAGAGTAAAGTGAGAGTACATGACATAGTTTTGAGAAGTTTTTTTATAAGAAAACAGTAAAGAAGTGACTCTAGGAGTGAAAAGGTTTTCTAAAAATAAACATGTTTGAGAAAGGTATTAAAAATGCTTTTTGAAATCAGCCAACACAAATCACAGGACAACCAGATTCAGAACACTTGCCAAACAGACACATAGAATACACATCAATGTATAGTAGAGCACATAAACAAGGATGTACAGAATTCTCAAGGGTTCTACAGCTATAAGGTAGGTGATTGAGACATAGAGCAAGGATTACAGTAAATCCATATTAAAAACACATAAATACTTGACAGGATCAAGAACACAACTAGAGTTACCCTAGAGAGACTAGGTAACTTAGCATAATCTCATTAGCAAAGTAGAATAGGCAAGAACTTAAATGAACATGCTAGGCAAATATCACAAAAGTATTCATAGTGTAGACATGCTAATCACACACTGAACAAAATGAGATTTAAACATGCTAGATAAAGCAGTAGACAGGCAAGTATAGTTTAGACATGCTAATCATATATCGAACAAGACAGTGCTAGGCATGCTAAGCAAGACAGTAAACAGGAACAAGAATAGAACTCATAACTGATGAACTAAGGCAGTATGAAACACATAGGGTTTAGGTTATAAAATTTAATCAGGGACATAACAGTTAGGGAAAGAGAACACAAGATGTAAAGCAAATGTTGTGCAATATCTAGCATTGGCTTACTACCGGCAAGACTAATAAATATCACAATTAGCGGAGAAGAACAGAGAGATTTTTAGAGTGAAAGTGTCTTTATGAACCAATGTTCGTGTTTTTGAAGTGAGAATAGAGAAGAGTATATATAGTGGTTAGGAGCAAAGCAGAATAAGGTAAAGGATATCAATCATTCAGCAATTAAGGAAGCTATAGAATCAATACACACAAATTAGTGCAGTTTTTCCTTAATTAGGAGTAATTACCCAACGGTAAATGGCAGGATTCATTTAAGGAAAGAAATCAAGTGAGCAATTAGGGGTAAATAGACAGGAGTTCAATTAAGGAAGCAATCTTGAAGAATCAGTAAGTATCACAGCTAATCACATAAGGTAAGAAAACTAATTAAGGTCATAATAAGGGAAACAATCAACAATCAGCACATAAGTTTGACAGTGCAAATCAGTAAATCAGAAATTCGAAATAGTACTGATTAAAGGGGGAAGAATATAGGTTTCCACAAATAGACAAATAGGCTAAAATGCAATTTCATAAACACATAGAAATCAGTCGAGAAGTCGAACCAAAAAACTTAATAGAGATGAACTAGGGTAAAAAGTCAAAAACAATGAATCTGACTAAAGGAAGCATGTGAATCAAACAAAGAACGAAGCATTGCACAAGTAACACGAAGAACTCAGAATCGAATCACAATATAGGAAAATTAGGGCTTTAGCAAAAATCGACTAGGTTAAGGCAAACTCAACATAAAACGGTCAGAAACATGTAAGAATAGAAGATTAAACATTCAAAATCGGAAAGCTTTTAGAGAAGATGATTTTCAATAAACCCTAGTTTTTAAGAAAAACATAGAATCAATTGAAAAACCATAAAACTTTCACAAAAACAGGTGAGATAGGTTCGATTCGTCTCAGATCTGTACAGATCTGAAATGTTCGGAGACCCAAAATTAGGGTTTTCGAAACTAGAACAGATACGGGATCGTAGGCTTAGGAATCCATGAATTTAAGCCGAAAATAAGAAGGATCTTACTCAAAGTCAAACCAAATGGCCTAAAACAAGCGAGATAAACCTAAAGGTATATACAGACCTGCCTATGTCCCTTGAGAATCTCCTCAAGGATCTTGGAGATGGAGGTACCATAGCATAGAAGAGGCCATTAGAGGCCTGAGGTGGTGAAGAACCACCATAGGAAGTCAGTAGGTGAGTGATAGCGGGGGAATTAGGGTTAGAGTTAGAGAGCGTTTGAGAGACAGAGAGAAGGGTGCGACGGGGGAAGGGTGAAAATGATTAGGGTTAAAGGGCGGTATATGGGTTTAATTAAGATAGGGTGATCCTGGACCGTTGATCAAGAATGATCAACGGCCAGGATTGGCCAAAGGATTTTGGGTCGGGCAGATAGAGTATTGGGCCTGGGGTTTTTGGGCTAATTTTATAGGTATTGGGCTGGTAGATTCTAGGCTAAAATTGAAATAAAAGAGGTTATTTGTTAAATACCTCAAACAATTGATTAAAAAAATAATTACTAATTATAAAAAATAAATTTCATGCATAGAAATGTTTTTAAAATAGTTATTTAGTATTTAAAAATACAAAGGACTAATTTCTGGTAAAATAATACAAAACTACACGCACGGGCTATAATTGCAAAGTTATTGCAATTATAGCAAAAAGGTGTCAATTTGGCTATTTATGAAATAATTTGGACTCAATAGGACCGTAATAGTAATATTAAATCAAGACATGTTCTAAATTTATTTATGATGCAATTTTACAATTATTTATTAAAGGTAAAATACTAGGCAAATTAATTTAACAAATGTAGAAATTGTGGAAAAATACCAACTGATGCTAATACAATATGATTTTGAAGATATATATGCACTTTAAAACTATTATAGGAAAAAATTGGGTATCAACACCCATTGGATCCTATCATTGGCGGGGCTCAGCAACATCGTTTCTACCAATCGGAGAACTGACCTAAGCAACTTGTTCGTCCCATCTGAACAAAAATTCCCTAAAACATTCCTTGGGTTTCTTTTCCATCTGAGATAGGGAGGAGAGGTCTGGGATAATGTCTACATTGTACTGATAGTGTCGAACAAAATCTTGAGCCATGCCACCCTATGCATGCCACTTACTAGCATCTTGGCGGGTGTACCACTCCAGAGCTGCCCCACTCAGACTCTGACTGAAATACACCATCAATTATTCATCTTTCCTGCAAACACTTCTCATTTCACTACAATAATCGCTCAGATGGTCTACTTGATCTCCACACCCATCATATAAATTAAGCTTTGGAATTTTAAACCCTTTCATCTTTATGGATATCTCATCTTGCTCAACTATCTTAGCTGGCTTTGCAGTTTCGCTGGGAGGCTCAAAATGATGAGCATAAGAGTATGGACCCGAGACCTTGAAAATTAGTTCTGGAGCATAGTGTTGGACATTTAGAGCTTGGAATGTGGGCTCACTAGAGGATCGGTGGAGGGTAGCTTGTGGAGGGGGTACAAAAATAAGAGCAGATGTATGAGCAGGGTATGAGGCTGTTTTGGCTGGTCGAGCATGAAAAATTTGGGAGTAAGTGCTAGGGTAGTTGTGGTAAGGGGTAATGCCCGGTGCGTGTTGTGGGGAAAAATCAATGGTACTTGGCATCTGGGCTAGGGATAGTGGAGGGATAGCTGCAGGGTTTTCAGTGTAGTTAGTGGGGAATGAAGGTGGAGGATGCCCCCTGATCCAAGATTGATACATTTCGGCCATTTGCTATTTCAACCCTTGGACCTCCTCTTTCAATTCAGATTCCGACTCCAAAAACTCCCTCGACAGGTCAACAACTCCTGTGTCCAAGTCTTTTCTAGCCATGGCTACCTTACTTTTTGACCTTGTGTTGTATGGATGAATCGCCAAAGTACCACAAACTAACCACCCTCTGTTATGATAACAATGAAAGTAACAAAGAGGAGCAAAACAAAGCCAACATGTTAGCGTTAGGGCATTTATCAGATAGAAATATCACATTGCGGGCAATGACCCTGGCAACAATTAACGGTTCTAGAATGACTTTGAGGGTCATAAGGTCATTTGGCATCATCCCAATTTTGTTCATTTCAATCTTCTCTTTTCTTTCTTTTCTAGCACTTCTTGGCATGCTCATTTTCCTTCCTCACTTTTCTGTCTAATTGTCACTATTTTCTTTTCTCTCATTTCTCACATCCCACAACGTTTTTCTTTTTTTTCTTCTTTTTTTCCTTTTTTTTAATAATGATTTGATCGAACCCTATGTAGGTTGCCTACGTATCATATCCTTCATGAATCAGATCAAGCGTAGTTCTGGAAAAGTAATGGACAAAATAAGATAAAAACAAAAAGCTTTTTGGATTTTTCATTTATAACCAATTTTTTTTTTAAAATACAAATGGGAAGTACAATGACAAAAGACTCGACAAACTCTTACACCACCTAAAAGACTCAAAACTACTAGACAAGACAAGAAAGTAAAAAAACAAGCTCCTGAATGTGATGGTCCCGGGGTATCTGTCATGCTCGAGCTCTGGTACATGGATCCACATCTGAATGAGAAAAATAAGACCAAATAGAGTTAGTGACTCAAGACACTATGCGACGTGACAATACCTCCTATTAGATACATGCAAGACATGATTGGGTTATTTTGCAAAATGACCTACATGACTAAGAGTGGCTATTAGCGCAAACTGAATAAAAGTGGCCTCTAAGACATGAAAATACCTCACTAAGGCTTATATGGCTTCAAACTCCCAATAATTGTGGTCCTAAAAATTACTTCGCAAAAATGACCAATATGGCCAGAAGTGGCTAAAGATGCAAACTCAAAAGGACGGACCTTAAGGTATTATGACACTTAGTTGCAAACTCAGGATTCCGAGACATGGGTCAATGAACCATTTTTGCGAAAATGACCCCATTTTGCAAGAATGGTGTGGCCAAACGTGGCTAGACATGCAAAATTTGGCTAAGACCCCGTGAAGCCAAGAACCTAAGACTTACTAGGAAGATCGGACCCTATGTGGGTTGCCTACGTATCCCGCCACGAAAGACGAGAATCAGGTTTGCGTAGTTCGGGCAGATTGGACATGGGAGAAAGCCTTTTTTTTTTAAAAAAATACAATTAATTTTGAAAAACTATATTTTTTGTCTTTTTGAAAAATAATGGAAAATGTAAAATCTTTTTGAATTTTCTTTTTCTTTTTTTTTAAAAATTTTTTTTGGAAAATGATGGGAAAGTGCAAAATCTTTTTGGATTTTTTATTTTTATTTTTTGTCTTTTCTTGAAAAAGTTGTGAAAGAAAAATGTAACTGGGCCCCACTTGCTTCATCTTTATACTTCACCCTCTTTTCTTTCTCGTTTACCCTCAACCATCATTGGTCCGCCAAATGACCTTTATACCCTTAAAGAATGCAGCATGCAACACATAGGGATGATTAAATGTCTTTTTGGGCCATGGGCCCGTTTTGACATAATTTGGATAGACTTCCTACAACGGGACATGGTGCTTGGAACCGATCCCTGCTAAGTTTAAATGATATGATGCAAACAAGCATGACCTAAAGGCTGACCTAAGTTTGGGGTTCGCTAGACAAGGCAATTCGGGGCAGCACGTGGTCGATGGTGGCTGCTCTAGCTGTCCGCCAACTCCACGCTCCCACGCCACCCCCTAAAGACACGGGTGACTCACAAAAGGCCTTGTACGCTCAAACGTACTCTGGAAGACTTGTTGCAGAAAGAAGACTCATAGTTATGCAAATGATGGCAGTTATAAAGTAGTAACACAAAAAGGAAAAAACGTAAACAAATAAGCAACTAGCAAACAATAAAACGACATAAACAAAATAAAAACCAAATAAAGCAAACAAAACACATAAAAACCTCAACCAAATATCCTTAAAAAACCAACAAGATCAAGTACTAGCTCGAACCTGCAACTCCCCAGCATAGTCGCCAAAGATGTCACACTCATTTTTTACACCTCTTAACCCCTTTTAAAATATATAAAGTGATTTTGAAGCTTGAAAGGGTTTTAAATTTTGAAGTGACAACAATTTGTGTTTCGAAGGATTTTTAAGAGTCGCCACCTGACATTTGATTTCGGTGTGCCAGATCACCATTTTTTTAAAATAACAATTTCCTTTCAAAACACGTTTGACTCTTAAACCAATTTGCACCAGAGATTCAGGTAAGGGGTTCATTTGACTCGGAGAGAAGGTGTTAGGCATTCCCCGAGTCCCGTAACTAGTACAGTTGCGTACATGATCAAGTTGACTTTTAAAATATTCGAATTGAGGTAATAAACACAAAAATGGGAAAATTAACACATAAGAAGCTCAAGATCGTTCCCATATAATAAAACAAAGATAACAATAAAAATAAAATAAGAATAAAAATACTACGAGTTCACTTTTGGCCTCCAATTACAGAATACTACGGAGCATTCCCCGGAATAAAATATATACAAATCCTTCAGGGCATTCCCTGGATAATTTAACTAAGGGAATGACCTCTCGCCTCAAAACTAACAAAAATCCTAAGGCTTGCCTACCCAAGCGTAGTCGGCCTAAGCGTACTACTAGCGGGTAAATATGAAAACAGAAATAAATAAAGCTAAATAAAACATTCATTCCATGTGTGACTTTCTAATGACCTTTCATTTTATTTAATTAAACCATTCCCAATTCCTATAACGTGAAAGCAGATCAATTACTATCCCCATGACCCATGAATTTATTATTTCCACAACTTAATCAATAAGCGTGACCCACATACTTACAAATATAATATCTTATTAAGAGTTAATTTTTATTATATTTTTCTAATCAATGACACTCACTTAAACGTAAAGCATTTTCTGACATAAACTTTTCATCACCCTCATTTCCCTTTGTTCTCATATGTGGCAGAAAATTAATTTATCCAAACCTAAATATTTCACTTGCTGTTTTAAAATTAACAAGCTATGAACATAAAAAAAAATAATAAAGAGGATGAAGGGAATGAACTTAGAAAGAGAACAAAATTAACAAAACACGTAGAAGAGATTAAAATTAATGAAACCAAGAGAGTGAGCAGTGCCATGATTTGATCACATATTAATCAAACATTAATCAAACAATTAAGAGGAATAAGAGGAAGAGGGGAATGAACCTGACACAGCAACCTTCGTTTAATAAAGAACCTCTTGCTATAATTATCGATTGTTCGGATTGGAAAACAACAATAACCTCGAACCGCAATAGCAACCACGAGTAGAACCTCGACTGACTATCGACTCCTCTCTTCAGATCTGGTGGACGAGACTCGAACAGAAAGCCGCACTAACTGGAACTCCATTTTGCTTAGATCTGATATAGGAACAGAAAACTTGACCACGACAATAACCTTGCTGGATAAATGGGAACTCGGTAGTGATGAAAACTGGAAAATAAGTTGTTTCTGGCTGGTTTTACTGGAAGTTTTAACGATATTGCCACTGGTCTTTCATGGTAGTAAATAGGATGTATATTTGTGAACAAAGCTTCTGCAAATGTGCCAAGAAAGTAAATTGTTGAGATTGAAAAATAAGTGGTCTCAAGTGAGTGGTGAAGAGTGAGAGGCGACGGCTGCTGGTGTTCTTGTTGATGGAAGCAGGCCGGTTCATTAATGGAGGTTGGGGGCGATGACGGATCTTGGAGATGAAGTAGGCGATGAGGAGTTGCTCTTGTCTTGGTGATGATGAAGGGTTTTTCCTATGGGTCCCTGGCTGATGGCTCTCTAGGGTTTTGAGGGGTAGTGGGCGCTTGGGAGTTCTTAGGTCTCTATAGGGTTGGTGGAGTTAGGGTTCTTCTGTCACGATCCAAAATCCACTTAGGGTCGTGATGGCGCCGGACACCGCTGTCAGGCAAGCCAATCATAAATACTTAATTTAGGCCTTGTTGTAATAAATTTTAAAACTATGATTTTTTCCTTCAATCATACTAGTAAAAAATAACCGTTTCAAATTAAATAGAAATGTTTAGGAAATTAATAAAAATATCCCTTAGCCATCCCAGAACCCGGTGTCACAAGTGTATGAGCATTTACTAGGGAATGAAATAAAATACAATAACTGTCTGGAATACAATTGGACAGAAAAGAAAATACAGTACAATACTCTGAAAGAGACTCTGTTGGTTGTGGATCGTCTCGAGAGGTACGGCTCGCCTGAGTCCCAATAACAACCATGCCGGTGCACCAAACTAGGCCACTAGACTTACATGCGCCTGTGCAACAAAATGCACAGCAAGTGTAGTATGAGTACGAAAATAACGTATACCCAGTGAGTATCCCGTCTAATCTCGAAGAAGTAAAGACGAGAGGTCGACTTCGATACTTACTAGTGGTCCAGTAGTAATATATTAATAATACAAATAATCATGGATTTATTAAAAGCGGTAGTAAATTTAAGTAAGCCACGAAACAAGTAAACTTTCCTTTTTATATCAAGAAGTCTCCAAATTCATAATCTTTTATTTATCAATTTATCTCAGACCAGGGGGGCAATATCAGTTCATAAATCTCAAGCAAGAATTACAAGCATGCGCAAAATATGTTGAGGTCGTACGGCCCGATCCAACAGGTATTTTAACTGTGCACTGCCAGAGGATAATTGTTCCCTGATACCTTCTTGATTGACTATCCAAAAAAAAGACAATTATCCTTTTAACAATTCAAGAAAATGAAGTTTAATCTTTTTAGAAATTCATTTACTAATTCAATATGATTTAAGCAATTCAAACTGTCAACAAGATTATAAATATTCCAAGTATAACATGCTTTTGGGTCCTAGACTACCCGGACTTAAACATAATAGTACCTACGCACGGACTTTCGTCGCCTCGTGCATACGTAGCTCCCACAAATAGAAGCACAATCCAATTAATTCACCTATGATGACAATTCCCTCTTACAAGGATCGTGATGGCGCCGGACACCGCTGTCAGATAAGCTAATCATAAATACTTAATTTAGGCCTTGTTGTAGTAATTTTTAAAACTATGATTTTTTCTTCAATCTTACTAGTAAAAGATAACCGTTTCAAATTAAATAGAAATGTTTAGGAAATTAATACAAATACCCCTTAGTCATCCCAGAACCCGGTGTCACAAGTGCATGAGCATTTACTAGGAAATGAAATAAAATACAATAACTGTCCGGAATACAAATGGACAGAAAAGAAAATATAGTACAATACTCTGAAAAAGACTTTGCTGGCTACGGATCGTCTCGAGAGGTATAGCTCGCCTAAGTCCCAGTATCAACCATGCCGTTGCGCCAAACTATGCCACTAGACTTACATGCGCATGTGGAACAAATGCACAGCAAGTGTAGTATGAGTATGAAAACAACATGTACCCAGTGAGTATCTCGTCTAATCTCGAAGAAGTAGAGACGAGAGGTCGACTTTGACACTTACTAGTGGTTCAATAGTAATATATTAATAATGCAAATAATCATGGATTTATTAAAAACAATAGTAAATTAAAGTAATTCACGAAACAAGTAAACATTCCTTTTTATATTAAGAAGTCTCCAAATTCATAATCTATTATTTATCAATTTATCTCAGACCGGGGGGAAGGGGGCAGTATCAGTTCATAAATCTCAAGCAAGCATTACAAGCATGCACAAAACATGCCGAGGTCGTACGGCCCGATCCAACAGGTATTTAAACTGTGCACTACCAGAGGGTCGAATGGCGCGAACCATAAATGCATCTATTTAATCTGCTGAGGTGTTCGGCCAGTTAGAAAATTAAACACACACAGACAGTCAATCAAGAAGTCATCAAGGAACAATTATCCAAAGAAAAGTCAATTCTTTTTTTAACAATTCAAGAAAATGAAGTTTAATCTTTTTAGAAATTCATTTACTAATTTGATCTGATTTAAGCAATTCAAACTATCAACAAGATTACAAATATTCCAAGTATAGCATGCTTTTGGATCCTAGACTACCCGGACTTAAACATAATAGTAGCTACGCACGAACTCTCGTCATCTCGTGCGTACGTAGCCCCCATAAATAGAATCACAATCCAATTAATTTACCTATGGGTACAATTCCCTCTTAAAAGGTTAGAAAGGAGACTCACCTCGCTCCGAAGATCTATCACCGGTATCCCACGTCCTTCCGAAGACTCAAATTGACGCACGACGCTCCAAAACTAGCCAATAATTATGTAAACTCATTAGTATATGTTCAATTACTCATTATAATCCAATTTAACAATTCCTAACTCCAATCGAAAAGTTGACAAAAACTCCCTCGGGCCCAAGTTCCCGGATTCCGAAATTTTTCGAAGATAAGGTCTATCCATAACCTCACGAACTCAAATATATAATTTGCTCTCAATTTCATGTCCAAAATCGTGGTCAAAATCCAAGAATACTAATTTTCTAGGTTTTCCCTCAAACCCTAAGTTTTCCTCAAGTTTTCATGCTCAAATCCATATACAATCATGTATTTAACTCAAAATTAACATAAACCACTTACTTCATGCTTGGTGATGAAAATGGCACCACAATGTTGCTCCAAAATCGGCTCCAATGAAAGAAATGGGGTTGAAATGAACCCAACTCCCAATTTAAAATAACCTCACTGCCTCCAGTATTTTCTCACATGCGGTCACTTATCCACTTCTGCGGTTGTGCAGGTGCGACCCACTAACCGCTTCTGCGGTTCTTCTCCAGGCCCCCAACTTCCGCATCTACGTCCTTCCTTCCGCAGGTGCGGCCCTGCTTCCATGACAAGATGACCGCATCTGCTGTCTCAGTCTAGCCCAGACACTCCTGCTTTTACGGCACCTAGGCCGCTCCTACGGCTCTGCACCTGCCGCCAAAATCTCGCAGGTGCGGTTACACCAGATACCAGCTGCTTCAGTCCTTCTTCAAATTCTAAATTTGATCTGTTAACCATCCGGAATCCATCCGAGGCCCTCGAAACCCCAACCAATCATACCAACCCGTCCCATAACATAATACGGACCTGCTTGAGGCCTCAAATCATATCAAACAACGCTAAAATCATAAATCAACCTCCAATCCAAGATTAATGAACTTTAGAATTTCAAACTTCTACATTCGATGTCGAAACCTATCAAATCTCGTTCGATTGACCCCAAATTTTGCACACAGGTCATATTTGATATTACGGACCTACTCCAACTTCCTAAGTCAGAATCCGACCCCGATATCAAAAAGTACACTTCCGGTCAAACTTCTCAAAACTTTCAAGTTTCTATCTTTAGCCAAATGACTCCAAAACGGCCTATAAGCCTCCGAATTCACTTCCGATCAGGCTCCCAATACTAGAATCACCATGCAGAGCTATTCCCAGACTTGGAATCCCAAACAGACATCGATAACACTGAAGTGCACTACAACCCAACTTATGAAATTCTTCCAAAATGCTAACTTCCACAATAGGTGCCGAAACATTCCTGGGTCTTCCAAAACCCGATCCTGACATACCCCCAAGTCCGAAATTCATCACAAACCTGTTGGAACCTTCGAATCCCGATTCCGAGGTCGTTTACTCAAAAATACAATCTTAGTCATTTCTTCCAACTTAAAACTTTCGAAATGGGAATTCCCTTTCCAAATCAACTCCGAGCTTCCCCAAATTCAATTCCGACCATGCGTTTAAGTCACAATACCTAACGTGAAGCTGCTCACGGCCTCAAACTATCGAACGACGTGCTAGAGCCCGACCGGTCGGGTCGTTACATTCTCTCCCACTTAAACATACGTTCGTCCTCGAACGTGCTGAGTACTGTATTGGAGCTGTCCGAAATCACTGTTTAACACCTTGAGCACATACACATGCTACCATAGCTCAGTTGAGCACATTAACTTGATCAAATCTGAAGATATTCTCCTTTATTCAACAAATAAGCTTAGAACCCAATTTCAACATCCGAAATTCTCTACGAGGCCTGCTTCCAGTATTTGAACACCGCATCAATCACTATATAGTGTTCCAGAACATTACTGCATATCTTTGTCGAATTCTCACCATGCACCACATCCTCCACATGACCATATTAACATTCTCTAATCATAATAACTAACATTCCCCGAACCTGATGCTGACAATGCACCTTATGAAATGTATAAGTCTCGTTCCAATTCTTACAATACTACCACGACGGAAGAGACGTGCAGAAATTCATAACCACTGGCCGAGTCAACAAATCATTGAGGCTATACTCCTGACAAGAACCATTACCTCATTCTAAACCACTTAATGGTATTTTCTCTTGATATACTTTATATAATCTGATCGCACTGATCCTAGATCCAATAATCTTATCTCAACCAGTACGAACTACTCAGGAAACAAGCCACCCCTGACATGACCAAAAGTCTCATATGATGATACAATGTGCCAATAGGCTACCAACTCGAACGCGATACATAAGGAAACCGAACTATGGAAGGGACTACTCAACTCACGCTGCTAATATGGACTTTCCTTAGAAAATGGAAAACAAAACACACAAAAATTAGAATACAAAATACTGTACTCAACATCATACGGTTGCGGCGTGCAACCCGATCCAAGCAACATACCCATGGCAGTGTGCCACCGATCCACAAATAAAATTCACATAAGGAGATACACACCAAGCTAAATTGCTCATTACAACAAAATACTGAATATCGGTCCTAAGCACACTAAGTGCATAATACCATCCCTGGGGAGACATATAGCACCATAAGCCACAAACTCAAGCTCAACTGAGGTGCGATATATGTTCTGAAACTAAAGAGCCATTCTGCTCACATAACACCATCGCTGCGTGGAATCTCAACACATAAGAAAGTTATCGAGTCGTTC